TATTCTAAACAATGTATCTAAACTCTAAATGCTCTAAAAGAGCACAGAATGTCATAATTTCCCTCTATCTGGCTCCGCTGCTCTCAGTCACCTGCAAGCGTTCTTGGCCACGCCCACTTCTGCGATCTGCACAGAGAACAGCTGATCAGCTGCAGAAGGAAGCTTTTCCTGCAGTGTGAGCAGCACAGAGGTGCAGCAGATGCTAAATAATTTTAAATAATTTATTTTAAATAAAAATTCCATGCCGATCATGCAGCTCATCCATCGATCAGGCAACTGTGTGTCATGTCCAATCTTATTTTGAAAAACTTGATGGAGCGAGTCCACGATAAACAAACTGCAAAGTATCCTGATGCATGTTCAATAATCCGCAATCAGGAGCAAATATATAAAGGCAGTGAATATAGCTGACATCATTTTTAATGAATCTGACTAAAATATAAAATGCTGTGTGCCTCACTTTAGAAGATTTATTGATCCCAAATCCATTTTAGTCTCTCCTAGTACATCTTTCATACATTAATGCACCAAATGAAGATACCTTTTTCAGGTTCTGATTTACACGTCAGCCTGAGAAAGGCTTCGTGATGTTGTGTCCACATGTGAAAAGCTTGTGTGTGACTATTGAGTATAACACAAGTTGATTTAAAATGTCCAGTTTGGAGATTTGTATTCATCTCTCATGTAATTAGTATTATTCACTCTTCAGATTCAGATTCAGATTCAATTTATTATTGCCATTGTCAGTGAACAGGATTCACAGACTAGGAACTTGCTTCGGCATAAAGGTGTGAATAAAACGTATAAAAATAAATAAATAAATAAAAAATGAATGACGCTAAATCGCTAAGAATGAATGTTGTTCTCTTAATGTCTGGTGTAATCTCTTAACAGCTATTTCTTGAGACTCATTAAATGTTTTAATGTGTCTGAAATGACAAACATCTGGTCTTGCAGCTGATGTGTCCCATTTGTTTTTATGCTGTATTAGTTGGTAGAACAGAGACAAGAGTGAAAAATGAGCCAGAGCAGCAAGTTAGTTTCTACTAATCACAATTTTGTGCATCAACAATTGTTAGTTTTTTAATACAATTTGATTAATTGATTGATTGATTGATTGATTGATTGATTGATTGATTGATTGATTGGTTGATTCAGCAGTCAAATCCTTCTTTCCCACCATTGACTATGGTGACATTATTTACATGAATGCCCCCACAAGCACCCTGCAGATGTTGGATGCTGCATATCGTGGTGCGCTAACATTCATAACTGGCTCTAACTACCGTACCCATCACTGCACCCTGTATTCACTGGTTAACTGGTCATCATTAACTTCACACAGACTCTCCCACTGGTACATTTTCATTTTAAAATAATTTCTTGGTCTCTGCCTTCTTACATCTCCTACATGTCTCTGCGTGAGTGCAGCTACAGCGTGCGCTCCCAGGACATTATTACCTGCAGTGTTCCCTCATTGAGGACTGAACTTGTCAAAAGGGCCTTCTCCTACTCCACTCCTGTTTCCTGGAATATCTTGCAAAAAGATCTGACGCTCTTGACCTTGACCTCGCTATGTGGCTTCAAACATCTGCAAAGTTACTGGCAAAAACCAATGCAGACTTGTTCCTGTTTTTAGTTTTCTACACCGTGTTATAATCTAGCTGGTTTTTTGTTACATTTTCTTTTAAATACCATTTTATTTTCCCTTGTTTAAAAAAAATCTCAATTTGTGCGCATCCTTTATGATTGTCTAGTATTGTCTTTGTTGTCTAGTCTCTCTTGTAAATGAGTCCCCGAGGCTCAGTGGGATTAACCTGTATAAATAAAGATTAAATGAAAATAAGAGTGGAAAAATACTAATGAATTTAGCTTCACAATGCTGTGGTACTTTTAGAAGCGGTTCTTAAGTTGTTCTAACAAATGTGAGTTGCAGAACCAGATTTGGCCTTAGCCACCACAGCAGACACTCCTTGACGCTGAAAACTGGAACAGACATCTTGAAAATGCCTTGACAGAAAAAATGCTCGCAACATTCTGTTGAACAGCTTCGAGGTGAAGATTTGTCACTGAACTCACATATTTAGAGCATTTTTTCCTCCACACATTGTCACGAAGTTTTTTTACTTACCTTTCTTGCATCCTGAATTTGCTTTCGAATCACCTCCTTTATGCTCGGGTTGTTAAGCCTGGGTGGGTGGAACAGCAGATTAATACTTGTATGGAGGTTTTCATGTGCAGCCTCTGGCCACCCCAAGTCCAAATTTGGGGTTTCCACATCTGAGTGGATGGGCCAGTACGTCCCCGAGGATGACTGGTCGTCCTTGACGGTGACTGGTGGACCGGGGATTTCTTCTGTGTGGTTTTGAGGTGGAAGATGTTTAACATTAGCAGCAATGAAGAGAAGCTCATCTTCTGACAGGAAAGTCCCCATACGTTCTCCCTTGAGGAACTCATGGTAACTGTCTTTGCCGTCTTGCACCAGGTGATCGATAGCCAGGCGATACGACTCCTTATAATGAGGCTGGATGTATTCCTCCGATTTAAACTCTCCCCTCAGTGACGACAGTGTGGAAAACTCAGGAGAGTCCATCTCTCCAGACGGTTTCTTTAGGGCCTGTCAAAGATAATGAACACCGATTATGTGTTGTAACAGGGCCAGAGAACAAAAATGGCAAAGTGGTAAACTGTGTTTCTTGGAGCGCACATGTGGCTTTCACAGTATGAATGAGAAAGTGTTCAACATTTCAAAGTGTTTTACAAACAATAATTTTCACCTCATCTTTTGTTTGGAAAAGGAAATGTGACTCATTCACAGGTAAACAATATTGACCTTTTTTCCCTTTTAAAAGCAGCATTTCAACAACTATTAGACAATAATGACATAAAACTTATGTGCGAGAAAACAAGAACAGCTTACAGTTCTTGAGTTATAAAGTACTATTTAAGTGGTCATAAGAAACCGGCGACTGAACAGTGGATCTATAAGTCTACAATCTACAACATAGACATATTCTACAGATGATCAATAACTGAATTAATAGCTCAAAGACAAAAGCAATCACCTGATTCGTTGATAATCAGGGACTGAACTGTTGATAAGTTGTTCGTGTTTCCTGAATTTTTACCCAAACACTGTGTACTTTTTCAACAGCTTCCAGTCCAATGCAACTAATGGAATATTTACAATGTGAACGTTCATTCTTACATGTCAAGGATTCTTGTGCATTCTGTAAATATATAGTTTAACACTTCAGAAAAAGGAAATTCTCCAGAAGTTGTTGCAGAATATTTAATCACACCAAATCCTTGTATATCCAGTGTCAAGTTCAGCTGTTTTCTATCCTTACGCAGCAGCTTCATTTCTGTCATCCAATGCTTCTTTTAACAGTCACGATACGGTTAAAGGCACTTAACACGCAACAGCAGTGACTTACATTTTGATAGTAACCTTTGTGAAAATCCTCTGGAGTGCTCCTAAAATATCCCACTTCCATTTATAAGCTTATATTCGGTGTTTGGTGCAGCTTCGGAGAGCCAGCTGGAACAGACAAAGACAAGGAGGTGTCTCAACATGATAAGCAGTCTGCAGTTGGAGGGTGTGGATTCCTGTTTTAACATGAAAATGGTGAGGCTTCGAATTGACTTACAGCGAGACATAAACCTGTTTGAGATGTTAAACCACTCCTCCTTCTCCTCCTCTTCCTCCTCCTCTTCAGTATGAGAACAAAGTTCATCCCTGAGGAAAATCAAGATAATGAAGACATAAAGAGGCTTTAGTTGATACTTCAGCATTAGACGTTACAAAAGTGTTGGAAACTGAATCAATAATACAAGATTTTCAGGTTTTTATCTTTTTTTTTTCTTGCCATATTTGTATTATCTGTGGATAAATTAGTTATCTTTGTTGCAAACAGAAGTTTCCCAGACAGTTTCTACAAACACACCAACACTCCCTTCTGTCTTATCTTCTGTGTTCACTTGCAGCTGCTCAAAGTTAGACAATAGACAATAACTCTTTCTTGCAGGAATGTGTTTGGGAATGATCAAATATGTCTGT